TCCGCGCCACCTCCGGATCCCGGCGCGGCCGCGCGGGGCTCCGGAGGGTGGCGCGGAGCTGCCTGCGCTCCAGGGCTTCCTGCAGCTCCGCGCCACCCTCCCGATCCCGGCGCGGCCGCGCGGGGCTCCGGAGGGTGGTGTGGAGCTGCCTGCGCTCCAGGGCTTCCTGCAGCTCGCGCCACCCTCCAGAGCCCCGCGCGGCTTCGCGCGGGGGTCTGGAGGGTGGCGCGGAGCTGCCTGCGCTCCAGGGCTTCCTGCAGCTCCGCGCCACCCTCCCGATCCCGGCGTGAAGCCGCGCGGGGCTCGGGAGGGTGGCGCGGAGCTGCCTGCATTCCGAAGCCTGGTGCGCACTGAAGAGCGCGCCCGGGCTTCGCGCACTTCTCCACAAGCCTGGGGAGACCGGCTCGGTTCCCTAGGCTTGCGGATAGCAGGCTGTTCTGGGGGCTGGGGTCGGGGGAAGCTCGGGCTTCCCCCGCGCCTGCCCCGTGCCTGGGGAGGGAATTTTTTTTCTTTATTTCCCCCCCCCCCAAAAAAATAGGTACCTTGAACGCACCTTGTTTTAGAGGGAGAGAACAAGAAAATTTTTTTCCCCCCTGTTCTCCCCCTCCTATGATCCGGTGCGTCCTATGGTCCGGTGCGTCCAATGGTGCGAAAAATACGGTAAATCATAACCATAATATCATAATCTAACTACTTCTGTTACTCATAGCTAGAGTTGTCATATTTGACCCTTTTTGTTGTTGACCCTTTGGGGCAAATCGCAAAAAGAGAGAGACATTTTTGAGAAATGACACTGCCAACATGACCTGCCATACGTCTGGATTTTCCCACACATTTTGCTGATTTCCGCTCAGACACTGCTTCCGACTGCAGTATTCTGGGTATGTCCAGAAAATTCTGCATGTATGGCGACCCTATTCCTAGCTCAAGTGCTGCTCGCAAGTTCATCATACTATAATGTTTCTTTAGATATTCCAAAAATGGCAACCATTCTTCCATAAAACGCTCATCATTCAATTCTCTTCATTTTGCTGTTAGTTTTGCTAGTTCTCCACAGTCCATCATTTTACTTATCCATTCTTTTTTTGCTGGAATTTCATCTTCCTTCCATTTCTGCGCATATAGAATTCTATACGGGCATATAAACAACTTTAACCCAGAATTATTGTACAGTGGGAACATAGGAAGCTGCCTAATGCCAAGTTGATGCATCTCGTTCAGCATTGTCTACAATGGCAGGTGGCATCTCACCTGGGTTTCAGGTAGGACCCCTTCCCATCTCTGCCTGCAGTAGACCTTGGACCAGACAACAAGGGGATGCCCAGGAAGTCACAAAGGTGGTCTGAGGAGGTTGCATAGGAGGGGCCAGTGGGCAATGAAAAGGTTGTTGGTTTTTCTTTATCTTAAAGTGGTCAATGATGATACGCAGGAACAGGGTTGGTTAATTGAAGCTCACAGGTGTATGTTTGCAGTTTGACCTACTTAGCTGTACACCTGTGGTCTCTTGACTATTTATCTAATTAAAAGGGGAGTTTACTTTCTGCACCAGATGCAGGGAGGGATGTGATAGGATAATTGATTATTTGAAACTGTATTTAAGTTGATTAAATGTTTTGTAAGCTGCTGGTGAGGAGGAGTGATGGCTTGCAGTGTTTGGCTGTTACGTTTTTGAAAATAAAACTAAGCAAAGATATTGCGGACAGCCTCTTATTTCTAGTTCCAGTCGCTGTGTACACTCAGTGTTGGTGAAAAAGTCAAACAAAGGTGCCAAACAGGACTCTTAAAAAGCCTCCACAAACTCCCAGACCTATGGAAAAAGATTATTCCCCTCCTCCAGTTTATTCACTTCTGGGCCTACTTTCCAGAATATGGTCTGAAGTGGTGGGATGTGAGTTGGACCAGGACCTGGGAGGACAAGATTAAAACCAGCACTTGGCCACAAAGCTCGCTGTGAGTCTTTGGGTCAATAATTGTCTCTCAGCCTTGCATACCTACCAGTGTCCTTGTGAGGATGACACAGAAAAATGGAAAGCCTGGAGTACCATACTGAGCGCCTTAGAGGAAAAACGGGGATAAAAATGTAAAGGGAGATGATGTCATTCTGCTTGTGTGTTTCCGATTCTAAAGGGATGTAGAGCTTAGGTTTGGAATCACACACAAAAAAGAAGCAAATCTAAAAACCAAAGGGGAAAAAAATCTGGGGTGCAACCAGAATGTTCTGGCCCACAAACATTTGTTTTTACATGCAGGACCTTGGCAAATCCAATGTGTGGATGTCTTCTGGGACAACCTTGCCTAGTGGGTTGTGGGAAAGGTGAGATTCTTCCAGAGAAAATGTGGCAACCTCATGTTAATATCAATTCAAGTAGCTGAGGAAGGAATTTCAAACTGACACTTCTGTATTTAGAAACAGAGGAAGGTAATTGAAAACAAACAGGATACGTTTCAACAATCTCGCTTTCTCTGCTGGTGTTGGGGAACAGTGTAAGTTTTCTAAGTGGTATTGAAGCAGAATCTCTCTGGGGTGTTTGCAGAAATAGCTCAGCAAGATTTTAAGTTTAACAGTATCTTTACAAGATAAGAGAGTCTGCATTATACTATCTCCTGGAAGTTTCTGCTGCTTTTGGACTGCAGGTGGTGCTATCAGCCTGCACATAAAAAATAAGAGTCAGTGCACTCTGCAAAACTTATTTTTTCTCTATCAGTTACTCCCTGGCTCCCTTTTTGGTAAGAAACAGCTTTGCTGAAAAAGAAAGTTTGCCTAAAAAGGATATATGACAAACATTTCATCTGTGGTAACAGAGACTGGAACAGGAATGTTCAAAGTTTGATACTACCAGGGGAGACTTCAGCCAGAACGTTGTTTTCAAACAGTCATAAGAACATAAAAAGAATCCATCAAGTCCACAACCAGATGTCTATAGAGAGCCCACAAGCAGGACCTGGGGCAACAGCACACTTCCCACTTCTCACGCCCCCAGCAACTGCCATTCATATTGCCTCCAGCAGTGGAACAATGGAAGGGAAATAAACAAGAATAAACTACACTAGTGTCAAGTTTGGCACAACTTGCTCTCTGTTTTGGAGGAATGCTAAGGGGGACTGGGCAAGATGTCTTCTTAGTCTTCTTTCTTCTTCTTTACTAAATTTCTATGCCACCCTCCATCCGAGGATCACAAGATGGTTTACAATTTAAAAACACCAAAATACATAACATAAAAAGGTAAAAGACCACTGACAGTTAAGTCCAGTCACGAATGACTCTGGGGTTGCGGCGCTCATCTTGCTTTACTGGCCGAGGGAGCCGATGTTTGTCCGCAGACAGTTTTTCCGGGTCATGTGGCCAGCATGACTAAGCCGCTTCTGGCGAAACCAGAGCAGTGCACGGAAACGCCGTTTACCTTCCCACTGGAGCAGTACCTATTTATCTACTTGCACTTTGCTGTGCTTTCGAACTGCTAGGTTGGCAGGAGCAGGGACCGAGCAACGGGAGCTCACCCTGTTGCGGGGATTTGAACCACTGAACTTCCGATCAGCTCTCTTTCTCCCCCATCCCAGAGAAGAAAATTCCATGCTTCCTATTGGTGCCAGGATGCCTTTCCGAGTCTGTCCTGCTATAATTTTTTCTGATAATTGTAAGCTGCCTTGGGATTTCTCTCCGAGCTGAAGGACAGTGCAGCAAAAATTTCAAATCGAGCAAAAGCCAAAGGCGGCGAATGCAATATGTTAAAAGAGAGAATCCCAAGGAGACTGGAGCGAGGATCGTGGTTCTGGGGATGGATGCCTGTGGTCCTTCCTTCCACGGATGCCTTGCACTTGAAAGGGAGAGCCATTTTCTCAGGGTTGCTTCCTGTATTGTGTTTTTATTAAGGTGGGGAGTGGCTGCAGCAGATCAACTTTCTGCACCCGCAGGTGCGTTGCCTGAATGAGCGAGCCAAGTGTTAGCTTATTAGGTAGCAAGAAAGCTTTGAACAGGCTCTTGTTAAAGCATCAGCATCAGCAACAAAGCAGAGGAGGTTGGAAAGACTGGTTGGAGAAATGATGTCTTAGCAGGTCGAAACAACTTGTGAAAGCAACAGCAGACTTTAAAGAAAATAATGATGCTACACATTCGGAGGAAGCAAAGGCAGTGAATAAAACATACCAAGTCTTGGTGTTGGAACAAGAAGGTATCCGAGGGAAGGGGCTGTAATAATCATGATCATAAACAAACTTGTCACATTCTGGTAAAAAGCTCTTAAGAACTTTACAATCAAATAGGGACTCTCTTACTTGCAGAAGATATTTGGGTCTCTTCTTTTTGGCGGTGTAAACAATTGGGATTGTGGCTTGTTAAAGAGACATATAAGGTTCTTAATTATCAAACGGGGAAATTGTGATAGCTGTCTTCACTTACACAAGGTAAAAAAATGCAGATTGGTGATATCACATTGATAGATTCTATTATTATGCCACAGTAAAATAAGAGCTTCAAAATTGGGATTGGGACAAATTCCAGCTGAAGTTAAGCACCCCGTCCCCCACTGATTTTAATGGAAGATTTAAGCATCTGTTTATTAATGTGTATAACAACAACAACAACAACCTTCCTGAAAACAAATTGAGATCAGCGCTCAATAAAGAGAGAAAATAATATAATCGTCATGCAAACTTTGTTCAAGCAAATCAGGATGGCTGCTCAACAAAAAAGATCATCTGGAGGAGCCCCTGCTTAGTTTCAGAAAGGTAGTAGCCTTCAGACCATACTAGGGGGCAATCCCGCAACCAAAGTTTCAAAACAAAGATTTGATTCATTTTCCAGATTAATAAATTCCTCTGACTTTTATTTCTTGCATTAAAAAAACCTAACACCCTACCCAACATGGGGGTCTGTGTCTCCAGCTATCCCACTCCTTGCCCTTGATAGTCTTATAAGTCACTGCAGGAAAGGGACCATGAGTAGAATAATAGAATCATCGAATTGTAGAGGACCCCAAGGGACACCTAGTCCAACCCACAGTTGTCCCTGGATGGGCTCGAACCACCAACCTTTTGCTTAACAGCCAAATGCACTGACCCACTGCACCACCCGTGGACTAACATCATGGAAGGCGTTCTAGGGCTAAGGTGAAACTGTGAAGCTCCCTCGTTATTTTTGCTATTGGATGCTGCAGTTTGGTTATGTAATCTTGTTTTATATATATATATATAGTAGTGAAATGTGATTTTTTGTTTTGTTATATTTTCTGTGCTATGAAGTTGTTGCTGTTTTCTTTTTTCTTTTTGCTCTGTTATTATGACATTGTTTTAATCGTGTTTGCTTAATGCACTCCTGTCTCTTTGTTACGATCTGTTTCGAGCCTGATTTTGTGTGTGTAAAAGCGGCATACAAATAGAAGGAGCGCATGAGATTGAAGCACCTTTTTTCCTCCTGAGGAAAAGCAAGCTGGCTGGATCTTCCGCAGCCTCCGCATACTCTCCTGGCAACCAAAGACACCTTCACCCTTGTCATACCCTCGTTTCAACAGGGCTCTGCGGAGAGGTAATCTTATTTGTAATATAATCAGTCTGTTTACTGGTTGGGGAAATATCATCAAGTATTACTTTAAGATACTTAGGGGATGTGACATAGTCTCAAGTAGAAGCCACCCCTTTAGAATGTAAAGGTATTAGTTGGCTGGATTTGCTAATAGAAAAAACAAGCTACGGTTTTATCAAGTCTGACAGTGGGAGAGCAGTTTATTACGCTGGCTGATCACATACACTGTTTCAGAGAGGAAGGGTATTAGAGAGAGATGGCACATCATTAGCAGTAAGTAGAGGTGCGTTGCCATCTGCATACATAAATCACTCCCAGCAAACACGGAACATGATATTTCCTTCTCTTGGGAGTCAGAAAAGAGTGCAGGGGATATGGTGCCAGGGGCAAGGCAGGTGGGTGGGTAAGGGAGAGGCTGGGGCAACTGCAAATGAGAAAAATCATGCGTTTGGGAAGCCTGCAAGTTATTTTCACACCTAGATCCAGCCCTGGTTGAATTTTAACACACAAATGAGGACACCTGCCTTTCCGAACCAGATGTTTTGGACGACAATTCCTATCAGCCCCAGCCAGCATGGTTGGGTGACAGCGGGTGGCTCAAATTGCGTGTCAAGACCCCGCAGCCACCCCCTCATTGGAAATAACTCACACAAGGACACGGATATTAGGTTTATGTTATTGGGCAAATGATTGAGGAAGTGAGCCAAAGAGGAAGTCCTCTGGCTCGCTCCTCCGTTTAAACGGCCCCGGCCACATCTCCCGGCCAGCGGGTTGGCTGGCCGGGCTCTGACATGGCCAGGATCCCCCAGGCAACGGGGGACAAAGTCCCCTGCCCCCAGTGGGGAGTGGGTGACCATGCAGTCTACCGCAAACTCCTCCCCACTGGGAAGTGGAGCGGATTTCCACAAACTGGGACTTCCCAGGTGGAACAAATCCCTTCTTTTGCCTTCTCCAAGGCGTCTCCAAGGTGGTGGGTCCCTTCCAACTCTATGCTTCTTTGAGATCTGGTTTCGGATGTGAGGAAGTCCTCTCTTCTGAGGGCTTGGAGGCTGTGCCCAGCACTAAAGAGGGGCAAATGAGGGCAGGTGTTCCCCACACAGACCAGCAGCTTGCTCCCCCCACCCATCTCTTCCATTGCCAGATCCATGTGATTACTTAAAGAAAGGCACTTTTCATATGCAGATTATAACTAGGAGTGCCCCTGTGTCCTACTTTACAGAGAACAGCCATCTATTCACAGGTGTCCTCAGTTTTGAGGGCTGTCCAGTCTGGCTTAAAGACAAGAGGCAAGATTCAACAAAGGGGCCCTTGTAGCAGAAATTAGTGTTAGGATATAGTTCTGTTCCACCTTTAGAACAGGCATGTGGAGTTCTTGTATGTCACATGTCTGTTTACTTCCAGCACAGTCTGCTGGGAACTTCTGTTGTATATAGCTTTTGCCTATTCTGTTTGCTTGGACACGAAGGGAAGCAGACATGTTTTCCTTTGTTCTAATGCTGAATAAACGCTTGTAAATATGCTTACATATGCCTCTGTCTGCTGCTTCTGTTGCAAAGAGTTCTTATCTCTGCTGGTTTGCGTGCTCAGTCTCTAAAGGTCTCTGAGGCTCTGAGTCACTGTTTTGATGCTGTTCCAAGAACCGGAGTTCACCTGGCTGCCGGCCGGTGGGCTGGAGCCAGCTGGGGGCCTGCCAATTGCCCCTGTCTCCCTGATGCATCCCAACAGTTAGTGCAAGGATTTCTGCTAGCGCAAACAGGGCTTTTCACTCTCTCCTGCAATGGCAGCCCCATGCCCCCCCATTGCCTTGGGGTGCATGTCAGGGGAGCCCTCGGAACCATGCACAGGGGGAGATCATTCTGTCTGGCAAGTTGAAATTCTTTTTGCTGGTGGAATGATCTCCTATGTTGGATTCCTCCCATATAACGGCCACCAACCCAAGTTGATGGCCACCAACTTGGATTAGACAAATTCAGGGAGCGCAAGGCTATCAGTGCTACTAATTCTGATGCCCATACTTTGCCTGCTGGAAACGGCAGAAGGAAAGAGTGTTGCCACTGTGAGAACAGGATGCTGGACTAGATCGGTCACTGGCCTGATCTAGCAGACGCTTCTCACAATCTTAGAAGGGGAGAACAAGAAGCCTTGAAATTTCCCATTAAGTGTTAGCAGCACCTGATCAGAAGACAGAACAGGCACACAAGTCATGTGGTGTTTTCCCCAATATGGAGAGGTGTACCATATTTCTAAGGCACGCGGGTGGCGCTGTGGGTTAAACCACAGAGCCTAGGACTTGCCGATCAGAAGGTCGGCAGTTCGAATCCCCGCGACGGGGTGAGCTCCTGTTGCTCGGTCCCTGCTCCTGCCAACCTAGCAGTTCGAAAGCACACCAAAGTGCAAGTAGATAAATAGGTGCCGCTGTGGTGGGAAGGTAAATGGCATTTCCGTTTGCTGCTCTGGTTCGCCAGAAGTGGCTTAGTCATGCTGGCCACATGACCCGGAAGCTGTACGCTGTCTCCTTCGGCCAATAAAGCAAGATGAGTGCCGCAACCCTAGAGTCGGTCACAACTGGACCTAATGGTCAGGGGTCCCTTTACCTTTACCTTACCATATTTCTACTCAAATTCTAGAAATTATTTCCAATTTGTGTCTACGCATTTAAATCACCACATATTTATTTTTAACATTTGTACGCCACTTCAGCCTTGAAACCTCTGAGCCATTTACGTAGAGCATAACATACAGTGGTGCCCCGCAAGACGAACGCCTCGCAAGACGGAAAACCCGCTAGACGAAAGGGTTTTCCGTTTTGGAGGCGCTTCGCAAAACGAATTTCCCTATGGGCTTGCTTCGCAAGACGAAAGCCCATAGGGAAATCTCCGGGGACCTCTTTTAAATGCTAGCGGTGGGGAGCAAAGCCTTACCCCTCCGGCCTTCAGAAGAGGTCCAGGAAGGCTGGCGGGGGCCGAAGGCTTTGCTCCCCACCGCCAGCATTTTAAAAGCAGTCCGGGATAGCAGGGAAGCGCTTCCCGCTATCCCGGACGGCTTTTGAAGGCAGGAGAGGTCCGCGAAGCCTGGGCGCGCTGATCTCAGCGCGCGCAGGCTCGGCATGCCGGCAACTCTCCGCAAGCAGCGGCAGCGCTGCCGCTGCTCGCGGAGAGGTCCGCGAAGCCTGGGCGCGCTGATCTCAGCGCGCGCAGGCTTCGGCATGCCGGCAACTCTCCGCAAGCAGCGGCCGCGCGGCCGCGGCGCGCGGAGAGGTCCGCGACGCCAGGGCGCGCTGCTCTCAGCGCGCGCAGGCTTCGGCATGCCGGCAACTCTCCGCAAGCAGCGGCAGTGCTGCCGCTGCTTGCGGAGAGGTCCGCGAAGCCTTGGCTGGACAGCTTTTGAAGGCAGGTGGGGGGACAAGACTTTCGCCCCCGCCAACCTTCAGAAGAGGTCCAGGACCTCTTCTGAAGGCTGGCGGGGGCAAAGTCTTTGTCCCCCTGCCTGCCTTCCCAGGGGCTTTAAATTGCCCCGGACAGCGGAGAAGTCCTCCGCTGTCCCGGGGCAATTTTAAATGCCGCCCGCCAGCATTTTAAGATCGCCCCGGACAGCGGAGAAGCCCTCCGCTGTCCCGGGGTTTTAAAATGCTGGGGTGGGTGGGAAGAAAGCCCTTGTCCCCCCAGCCTTCAGAAGAGGTCGGGGGACAGACTGTCCCCGGACCTGGTCTGAAGTCGGTTTCCCTAGGAACGCATTAATTGATTTTCAATGCATTCCTATGGGAAACCGTGCATCGCAAGACGAAAAACTCGCAAGAAGAAAAAACTTGCGGAACGAATTAATTTCGTCTTGCTAGGCACCACTGTATACAGAAGAATAGTTAGTAGAAGTCAGAAAAGCAAATGTCATGCAAATTGGTGCCCTGTTATGTCTTCTTTTTTTGGCGATGCATAATTGACCACCCTAATGATAACTGAAACATAAGCTGGAAGTAAGACTCTAAGTGAGCTCACTCTGGCAATTTAAAAGCAGCAACAAAATCGATAGGATTTGCAAAGCTTGCCTTCCTCTGAAATGCACTTTGCCGGTTCTGTGCCCATATATATATATGAATATTTCTGGTACTGCCACTAGAAATATTTGGGGGAAACGGGTGGTGGGGCTGGTCCCCCAGGAATTGCCTCTCTGCCCATCTCTATTTCTCACCCATCAGACTTTGGTAACAGCAATACTAACGATTAAAAGGCTAGTTGAGAAGGTCTCACACTCTGAAGCAACCATTTGGCTGGACTTTGCAGACCTTTCGCCCTCCATCATGTCTGATTTTTTTAAAAAAAAAATCAAAAAGAGACTTTGGGTTCAGAAAGCATGGCTGCGTGTTGGCTGAGAGACAGTCCAAATTAGTATTCAGAATCAGAACAAGTCTTCTCCCCCCCCCCCCGACAAAGGAAAATGTTACAAATTTTCATGTCTGTTTGAGACATGAATCTTGATATATAAGGAATCCAGACTAAATGAATCAATAAAACTGTAGGTAACCATCACCATCATTTTTAAAATTTCTTTTGGTAGA